AACCCGCTGCCACGGCAAGAAACGTCTGGAGTCGTTTATCGATTCTGGTGCAGTTGCGGACAAGGCAACTAAGTCGGAGAAACCGGAAGACAGCTCCGAACGCGAATGGCCGAGCACGCTGCAGCGGTGCGGAGAAATGACGCCAGCTCTCAAGTTGCGGCTCATTCGACGAGATCCGGGCACACATTCAAATTCGACGAGGCCGAAATTCTCGCTAGAGGTGACAACCGCGGCAACAGGAGGACAATGTTTACCGATAGTTACGGAAAAAGCGAGTTGAGAAACAACAAGATTTGCAGGTGGCCGTCGCATGCGACGATGCTCACCGTATACCGGCACAGTATGGTGGGCGCAGAAGGGTGGCTTGCGCAGTATCTACCCCACCCTCCCACCCCCCACCCACCTGGACTCGGTAACAAGACCGGGGGTGAGCTCGGACGCAATGTCCGATAAGGCTATACAGCCCATTTACGCACGCCAGACACAACCTGATCTTCCCCCCAAATGCATCAGGTTTTAACGGAAACAGGAGGGGGCAGCGCGAATTTTATCCAAGTTCGAGCGCCACACAGAACACATTCAGGACCCATCGGGCTGGTCACCCCACCGCAGGTAATGATTCGAGTAAAGACCATTCTGCGCAGAAAATCGGTTACCGTCCCTGTGTGGAAGGCAGCACACGCCAGAACTGGTCACAGAGACTGAAAAGCTATGCCCCAGAGTGGGGGAAATCCGCCACGGAATGGAATAAGGACGTCAGTAAAGACAGTGTAGTGCTCGATGAACAGACACTGCACAGGGTGGGGGAAGAGGAGGAGGAGGATGATGATGATGAGGAGGAGGAGGAGGAGGAGGGGGGAGAAATTTACCGGAAGACTGCGGTCGTCACACCTCCGGCGAGATAGAGTGCACGACAGCCTCTGTTTGTGCTTGCAATGAGACAGCCCTCAGTGGTGGCCAATGGCACATAGTGTTCTCGACCGTCTAGAAGGAGAGGACCCACCTTGCCCAGAGGTATTGGAACGAACCCTATGACCTTGGGAAGGGAATGAAAGACGCGGAGGGATTTTTGTGAGGAAGATACAGGACGCAAAGAAGGAAACATGAGAAGATTGTTAGTGTCGGGCACCCTATCTAAGGGATCTCGTATTTAAACTGACGAGTCTGGAGGTTTCATCATACATATACACCAAAAATGCTGAAGGACTATTTCATGAAATGTTAATCAGAATCCGGAAATGTGCTTTAGGTTTAAGAAGGATTACATAGGTAGGGTTACGATATTGATGCACACCAAATGCTGAAGGACTATCTTATGAAATGTTAATCAGAATCCGGAAATGTGCTTTAGACTACGAAGGATTACATAGGTATGGTTACGATATTGATTGCCGTGCAGCATTATGCTAAAATATTTCAGGATATCGGCTTTCGAATGAGCTTCTTTTCGGGCACCTGCATATACTCGGTAAAAATGACTGTTTAAATGGTATCGAATTTCACCATTTATTTTTTATGCCCTAGTAAACTGAAATATATTTTATAGAAAACATGCACAAAAATATTCTCCCTTGTATTCATTAGTTAGCAAAGTACTTTCTCTTCGAATTTTATACTCGACGGATATTTTCCGATTCTAGAGGCGCTTCAATTCCCAACCCGCAGCTCCATTTGCGCTTATAGTTTCAGAGCTCCATGTTGTACAGGTTCAATGCAAGGAAAAGCATATATTTCTTTAGGCTATTAAGAAAATGTCATACATATAAAGCTCACGAATTTTTTGCAAAGAATATGGATCGTGTTGTGTTTCATCGTCTTAAAAAATCTCATCATTAGAAACTTTCCCAAACTGAAAGATACCCCTTATTCGAGTACGAACTTTGAATAAGGCGTAATTTGCTACCAAGTGAATACAATAAAGAGTTTTTTGTGCACGTCTTCTATGAAATATATGAGTTAATAAAAACATCAGAAATCAAGAACACGTTGCGGAAGAGTTAAACCAAATTTTTTTTTTCTAGAAACAGACTTTCGGTGTCCGCTGGTAAGTATCTCCGGTCATGTATGTTTTCAGATTAGAGCTGAAAGGCTCAAATTTTCTGACGACCGACTGAGTTACAATGGGTGGCTTACCTCATAGGATGTCATTCGGAATTATTAAATGCGTTTTCGTTTAGAAAGGATTACATAGACGAGGCTGTGGTGTCAGCCGTCAGCTCTTGACCCCTACCGCCTACAAATGCACAGTCGGTAAAAAACGACTACTTAAACAGTATGTTTTTCCCATTAATTTTCGATAGTAATAAATTCAAACATATTTTGTGTAAAACATGCACAATTATATCCTTTCTTGCACTCATTTAGTGACAGAAAAAATATTAGCATTTTTAAATTGAAAAAAACGGCCGAAGGTGTTGGTTTATTTCACGGTCATGGAAATCTGTCAGCAGAATACCGTACTAGGGTAATTTACTAAAGAATGTCATCAAATTTGCCAAAAGCATATTCGTCTTTGACTTTTGCTGTGGACTTACATTTTTTCGACGAGGTTTGATGTTTAAGCGAGTCTTTGAAGGTCACCCAGATGATTGTATACATGAAAAAGAACGCCTAAGTACTCAGTACTTCGGTAAACGCTCCCCAGAGTCAGCTCATGTTGAAAGTTCTAATAGATACAGAGTATACAATCGATCTTAACGGGTAAGCGGTTGAAAGCACTAGTAACCGTAACGTATTTACCGATATTTCAAAGACACTCCGAAATCCCCGTGACTCCGGTGTCGGAACAGAAGACAACTAAATCTGTCCGAAAGCTCAGGACAATAAACAAAATGTTCCGGTGCTCGAAACCTCTTCTTCTTCACTTATGAATACACCTGGAACTCGAAATTTCGCCTTCACATTAATCTGTATCTACCAGTCTGTCAAAATGCAACCTTGCAAAAATCCTGTTCCTGTAACGTCTCTATCAGCGAAATTGATCTAACTCCTCTTTGTTTCAATCAAATAATACAAACACGGAAATAAAAAATATATCGATGCCAACCAAAAGACCATGAAACACATGACGACATTAAGCACTTGACTTTGAGTCCCTATACGGCATCTTAATAGCCTGGAGGAATTTGTAATTCTTCCTACGCGGAAAGCGTATGGTTTGTCGTTTAGAAATCCTAAGCACAAATAGAACGACCGGTTGGATCCAAGATTATTCTCAAATTGAGAAACTTTTAAAAAGCATACAGTCTAAAGAATATGTAATTTGTTGCCGAAGGAGGAGTAAAAACATACTTCTTCGCAGCACTGACCAATCACGGGTCGGTAGTCAAAGTTACAGTGTGGGATGCGCTCCAGAGCATGGGGATTAGCCAACCGTAAGGCGAGATCCTGTCGACGAATTTGCACGGCCCTGGTTAGATTCTCTAACGCCGACTCCAGCTCGCGCGTCTTCAGTTTGCCGGTAGAGATAAGTTGGAGTACTTCAGCATCATCCAGGTCGGCAATCTGAGACAGAACAGATGTATATAGGAGCTTCAATCAGATTAACGGAACTAGCTGATAGAGGCGAATGGCGAGGTACAACTGTTGCATCGGTCGCGGACCATGAACTGCAGGAATTATAAGATTTCCCAATGCTGAACGTCAACCACGACAGAGTAAAAAGCATCTAAACCTATGAAACAGACGGACGTAGACGTGAGAAAAGAGTTGTGCACGATCAAACAGTGGGTTAATGGAATAGAAGAAATGTACGAACCCGTTTGGAGCTGGAAGTTACTGCGGCTGTTACCACTGGCAACTTGGACTGAATTGGCTGCATGCCTTCCAGGGACTTTGGTAGAACACCAAAGTTGTGACGGGTAGAGTTCATCTGATTTGTGGACAGTCTGTGGGAACTGCACTATAAAAAGAATGGGGAAAAGTTAATTAAGGGGATAGTATGAGGATGCCGTCAGTCAGAAAAGTGGGTTCGTCAACCGGGCCCAAATAGGGCCGTTCCTGAAACTCCTTTGGAGACCAGTGGAGATGTCAGACTCTCAATTATGGGCGTGGATAGGCGGTAGGATGGATGACTAAAAGTCTCCTTTTACCACGCTCGTTTCAATAATCATCGTAACGTTATGAGGTCCCAACCTTTCTCTGATTCCCAGGACGTTATGAACGAGGCGTGACTCTTTTTAGGGAATACAAGGGATATTTGTAGCAACTCTGATCTAATCCTATCTCCATCTTCATAGTTAAACTGAGGGTTCAGGGACCGTGCCAAGCTTTTTTGTAATTTACTGTGTGAAATACATAATGCAGGTAGGTGTGCAGATGTGAACACTTTGTAATTAGTCGGCCAAATGTTAAGTCTTGACACAAAACTCTAGGACGGATTACGGAAGTTTAAATTCGGTGAACGAGCTTGAGGCTTCCTCGACAATCTCAGACACAAATTATAACTATAAATTGAAATCTAGTTAGATTATTGTAATCATGGTTAAATACAGAGGTCACGCCGACTAAAGACCCGCTTCCGAAGCAGTACTGATGTTCGTCCAGCCCTGGTACAAATGGTTAAGTCAATGCATCGATCTGTAACACTACTGCAAGATAAGGCAATTTAAAGGACAACGTACAACAATTTAGTCAGTGGAAAGACAGGGGGTAAAAAGAGCTAAATGAACCTAAGTATTGTGTATTAAGTTACTTGAAAATACTAAGGGATAAAGGCATGCCTAATAGCAAAAAATGCTTGATTGCTCCATAAACAGAAAGGTACCTTTTCATCGACTTCACAGTTTTCGGTGTGATTGAAACAGATTGGTGAGTCATTCTCCGAGGTGGTTCGCTTTCTAGAATCCTTAGATCGCGTCATAAGGCATTTTTCGCACACACAGGCCGTGGAGAAAATATGAATAACGAGGCCTATTAAGGAACGCTGAACCACTATAGTTCCAAAAACGACCCACAGAGTAGTCGGTTTGAGAAGACCTCTTGCTAAAGCTCTCCAGGTATCATCGTCGGTAGAAAGGCAATCTTTGAGGGAAAGACAGGCATTGAGAATAGAAAAAAAGGCGGCGGCCACCAACTGGGTGTAGAACCGAGGAGATTCGGAGTCAGAACAAGGGAAAACTGGCATTCGCATGTCAGAAACACGATTTGGAACAGAGGTCGAGGCGGAGTAAGTGCGGGTCCTGATACGAGAAAAGGGTCCACGAAGACGCGCAACCAACCTGAAACAAAATATAATATTCCACCGGACGATGTAAGTTTTGGTAATGATTTTAAAAGTAGCTAGACTGGTGTAGCAAGTTGAGACAATAAGGAGAATTGAGAATGAGGATCTAAAAGTGTGAATAAATTTTGGCTGGGGTGACTTGAAACTTGTATCTTCGAGGGGAAGGTCCAACAAGTAAACACAACTTGACAATCAACTGTGCTGAGAAGTTAAAAAAAAAGGCTTTACCACTTCCAACTGTACTAGTGTAGAGCAATATTACTTGTAACAGAAAGATGACTCACCTCGGTAGGGTAGACTCTGTGGATATGAGAGAGTCAACGCCTGCATAGAGACGAATCAATACAGGCAAAAGGCTGAATTTTGAGAAGAGTAAAACGACGGTGTGCACCGCAAGTCCTTCACAAAGAGAGGATATATAGTCGCCACTTAAATGAGAAACGACTATCAGCGCGAAGAACTTGAAGTAGTGGTCGACCATCGAAACCCTGATTGTGTACAGAAAGTTATAGGCTTCCAGTGTGTGCGTTCGAACGTAATTCTCTCGAGTAAAACGTGTATAATCGACTGCGGACACTGCTAAACAAATCTAATTAAGAGTGAAATAAGAAAGGGGAAAGAACCTTGAGAAGAGTGGGCATAAATCGCCAGTTCGACAAGACGATACTTAATGAGATGATCAACAAATGTTCGACAGAAAAGGGCCTACAGAATGTGGACGCGATTATCAAAGCCGAAAGGACGCTGATTGCGAACGCTCTTTTGAATGGCGGTGGCCGTGACCTAGTCCCGGCAACAGTTGTTTCTGCATATTGAGAGCTCAAAGACGAACTGATTTTCAAAAACCGCCAGATAGAAAATGAAATTGATCCAAATATTATGAGCACGTAAGCACAATCCGTGCGAGAGAAAGAAAGGGAGTAGTATGAATCGAGCAAGTCAAGGCGTCTAACAGAGACGACGGCACAGTGAGAAACCAAAACCGTCCAAATAAAGAGGGTTTGGAGAGAGTTCTTCAGGCTCAAATCACCCAGGTAAAAGGGAAAGGAATAGCAGTGATTTAAAATTCGCAGAATTCCGAAATCCACCATTCCATAAGCAGAACGACAGACCTCACAAATGCCACTCACGGGACCAACGAACACAGACAAGATCGAAAGAACGCCTTTTCGTTCCGGTTATCTAATTGGTCGGCATATTTGGTTCAAGGTTAGATTTAGGAAATTTCCTAATGTTAGTCGGAATGACTAAGAGTTCCAGATTTCTTCACTGCACAATGTTTTCGTCATTCCTTTTGGCGATAACCAATTCACACTCGAATATGAGATTCTTAGCACAAACCTTGGATGAAGCATCCAAGGCCGTGGTTAATAAATTACCTTCACATAAAGAAACATTCACAGCTATCAACCGAAGCTCGCTTTTTGACTCCGAACGGCCTACGGAACAAAGAACGGACGATATTGTGCATTGGAAAGGTAAGGGATAGCTAAAATTATGTGGCAGGACAAGTGCGTTAGATGAAGTTATCACTTCATCACTTCACATCCACGCAGAGAAAAGGTGGAAATTAAAATTAACAAATTACCGAAGAAACTGACCTTAAATATAATATACAGGAAAGGCGAACAACGATATAACTCCTAGAACTCCTCAACCATTGTTGCCCGATACGTCTAATGATCCATTTAGAACTTGTTGACTCCAACCAAAATCTCGCCCATCAATGCAAGATGAGAGGCAAAGACGGCTCTAAAATCAGACACTCGCGATTTTTGGATGGTTTTCTTGCGCGTAAAGCGAGTAGAAATCCAACCGCTGAACTGCAGAACGTTGGCAGGGGACGATTTCCCTTGTCACTTGTGTTCTAACGTAGCTGAAGCAGCATGTTGTTTTCTTTTATGAAATCGTGTGTATGTGCTTGACGAATTGCAGGCAGAGCTCTTCATCGTCCTATTTAAGTGCAGTAAATTCTGCAAATTTGCAGTAAGTATGAGACTGCTGAATTTTAGAACCATGTTTAGATCAAAACACGTCACAGTTAATGATAATGATTGTTTTATTTATAAGTGCCCGGAGAGCACAATCAAAATAGTGTTAACATTGAGTCATTTGCTAGAATACAGACAGTGTAGACAGGGATGGTCTTCGTGAGCAGCCAAAAACATACTAGAATTCGGAAATTTTGTCATAAAAAGTTGGCAAATTTTTAACGTATGCTGATGATTTTCCCTTTCGCATTCGACACTTCTAGTTGATAAATTTCCCAGCTCCCAACTCCGAATCTTTTAGGGAGAATGGTGAGCTATAAGCATAGCAGTAAAAACATCTTGAAGGAGCTGTCAATTTAAAAAATTTCCAGGACAAAGGGGAGGTTCTTCATGTGGGTAGGATGAAGTCCTGGAGATGTCAGGTGGTGGCAGGCCCAGAGTGGAACTGACAATAGGGGTGAGAACTCGACATCTAAATGGCCAGAACGGATTACTTATTAGACTCCGCGGTAAGCGAAACGGAGATGGCTTAGAGCGTGCATGCAAAAATGGAATCATTACTTCTCTGAGTGGTTCTTTAGGGGGGACAATTCCTTCTATGAAGGACACGACGCATGGGTTTAAAATTAATATTTCTGATAAGGGATTGTCGAGAATAAAATCACAAGCAGAAAAATAAATTTGTGTGGATAAGTTAAATTGGTAGCGACATCCTAGATTCCCGATTGACCTTTCTTACAGTCTCGGAGAAAATTTCTCGGGAAGAAAGAGGAAAATAACAGTTTAATCGAGCCGCTATTCAGGTAAAAGCGCAGTCTTCTCTTAGGGTGTGTAGGTTATTTGGTGGATTGCTTGGTGGATTACTTGAGAGAAAGGAATACCTGGAGGCGAAGAAGAAGCAGCCCTCAGAAGTGGAGGGGGCGGGAGGTAGTATAATCAAGGAATACTTTTGAAGATTGCATAGGCGATTATCAGGGATGGAGGCTGAAATCAGAGGAAGATTTGAATTATTATTATTATTAATGTGAAAATGGAGACAGGAGCCTGCTTCTAGTTTTTGAGTCCTTGAAAATTTTCGGTTAGTTAGCTGGAACCTTTTTGGGTAGGAAGTGTGTTGGATGTGCCGTACGTAAATTGTTCTAGTAAAATGTCTCTGGACATTTTCAGCTCTAGAAAAACTAGCCTCGTTGACTGAAATAAAGGATGGGTAACAATATTCCCCCCCCCGCTTTTGACATTGCCCGGATAACCGCATAGCGGATTGGGTGTGCAATCTCAAAGAAACCCTCCGGTCTTTGGAAGCATGCATATCTATGGATAATCTAAAATGTCTAAAACACGCTGCGTCTCGATTACCTGCAAGATTGGGAAAACAAATCGGGCTTTTTTGATCAACCGTAGCAAGATGGGCTCGTAAGACCATTTACAATCCTTGTTGCTTCGTATTAAACCTGTTCGTGGATATCAATATCTTTCCTCGCCCACAATGTCCCAGCTAGCATCCCGTAATCCAAATGGGGTCTAATGAAAACGCCGAGGTCTGTTATGTCTGCTTCAAGAAAAAATATTCCAAACGCACACCCAACCTAGGGCAATGTACTATTTGTATTCAAGACTACTTTTCTATGGTCTCCTGACGGCGTCAGCTTAGGAGTTGTCCTCATGCCCAGATTTTCGTGCGTTTACAAATCTTTCAATACAGTATTGTTAATAGAATACTGGCGTTATAAATATATGTTTTGCTGGTGTTAAGGTGTGGGAAAACACATTTTGATATCTTAGAGGCTGTCTTTTCGACCAAACACTAAGTTTGCTGATATTCGTAACCGGGACTGCATTCTCTATTTAATAGATTGCGAAGGAAATACATTGTCTGATAATTCAGACAAGACGAATCTGTTATCCGATTTCTTCACGTCTGTGTATACCGAGGAGCCGTCTTTCGATGAAAGAGTTAACGCCCAATTGTCTCATCAAGAAATACAATTAGCACGGGGTCTTCACAACAGACACGGTAACGAAAACTTTGAGTAAACTACAGCCCACTAAATCACCTGATCCGCACGGCCTACTCGTAAAAGTCCTGAATGAACTCTCTGACCAAATGGCCTCTCCGTTATCCAAGATCTTTATAACTTCGGTGGAGGTCGGAGCTCTGCCTACCGAGTAGAAGAACTGTAAGCTCATTTAAAAAGGTGAGGAGAGAACAGCCCCAAATAGTTCCAGACCAGTATGCCTCACAAGCATCTGTTGAAAAGTAATGGAAAAGGTAATAAAAACGGAGCTAATGCAGGATTTTGAAGTAAACAACTTGCTCAGTGTGCATTAACATGGATTTCGAAGGGATCGGCCCCGTTTTACTAACCTGCTAGTATCCATAGGGACCTGAACGAACTCAATAAGCATGGGTTTATCAGTCGACGCCGTGTTAATTGTATTCAGCAAGGCTTTTGATAGTGTTCCACACAGACGACTTATATTTAAACCACGTCAAATAGGTGTGAATGGAAGTCTGCTGAAATGGATGACCAATTTTCTTACGGGCAGAACTTAACGTGTGTGTATAGGTAAGGCTAAGTCGAAGGGGACATCCGTGCACAGTGGTGTTCCGCAGGGCAGCGTTCTGGGTCCAATTCTGTTCTTCATATATGTGAACGACTGCCTAGATTGTCTGAACTGCGAGCGCGTAATGTTTGACGATGATCCCAAATTGTCGAAATCATTAGAGAGGCCAGCAGACTCGCTACAGTTACAAACGATCTGAATCGCCTGCAACGGTGTTGTGATGAGTGGTGTCTTAACCTCGACCTTAACAAATGCCAACTTATTCGATTACAATCTAGCAGCAAGAGGCCGTTGAGATTTGAATCTCACTACTCTCTACGTCACCAACTGGAATCAGTTAACGAGTTAATAAACGTCGGTATGTGAAGGACGTCATCTCCCAAGGTATCAATGAAGGTCATGGGTATCCTAGGCGCGATTAGAATATCATTCCTCAATTATGACGAAGAACTTTTCGGGCGAGAATTTGAAACATTTGTGTTGTATCCAGCTGGTCAACGCTTGGAATTCTCCACGCCCTCCTCGCAATTGTTTCCACATTTGGCGCTTTTTGACATTCCCCCTCCCCCCTTTTTAACCCTATTTCGAGCGTGATCGGCGTTTTTCTAATTAACTAATTTTGTATTCTGTCATTGAGCTGAGAATTGGATTTGTTCGAACAGTAATAAAGGAATTCTTTGTCTAGGGTATACACTGTTGA